CAATATCCCTAGTACCACGACCCCTTCTAAATCCAGCCTGGACTTCTGGCAGTTATCTACTGATGTACTGTTCCAGTTGTTTTTGGATAATCTTCAGTAGACTCTTGCTTGCGTGTGAAATCAATGATATTGTTCTGTAGTTTCCACACTCAGTTGGGTCACCCTTCTCTGGGATGGGAACCAATATAGATCTCTTCCAGTCAACATCTAGACAATGGATTTTAGAGTCAAAATTGGGTAAGGCAGGCATAAAACAAGGTTGCACATAAGTGTTATAGACTGAGGGTAAAGTATTTTTATAATTATTAATAATGAGACAGGAAATGAGAATGAAATAGAACAGAGAGCATAAAAGACAGGGCCCCAGTAGTTCTGTGACTGAAATGCCTCAAGCCATGCCTGTCTGTGTATTTATTGAGAATCTTCGGGAAGGTAAACAAAGAAAAATCACAAGGGAGTGTTGTTGTTGTTGTTGTTGTTGTTGTTGTTGTTGTCATGTGCCATCAAGTTGCTTGTGACTCATAGCGACCTTATGTACAACAGCCCTAAACCCTGCTCTATTCTGGGCCAATCGCACTGTCTTTGATACACCCATCCCGATTACCCCAGTCACTGAATCCACCTCATAGAGGGCCTTCCCCTCCTGCGCTTTCCCTCCACCCTGCCAAGCATGATGTCCCTGCCCAAGTACTGGTCCTTCCTTGCAACATGTCCAAAGTATGTCAGACAAAGCTTCAGAAACCTTGCCTCCAAGGAGCAGCCCAGTTTAACCCTCTCTAGGATGAATCTGTTTGTTTTCTTAGCAGTCCATGGTACACTCAATACTCTTCTCCAGCACCACAGCTCAAAGACATCAATTCTCCTTCTATCCTCTCTAGTCATTGTCCAACTCTCTGACACAATACAAGTGATTGCAAAGACTATGGCCTGTATCAGATGCACCTTGGTCTCCAGAGAGACACCATCACTCTTCAGTACTTTAGAGAGGTCCCTAACATCAGACTTTTCCATCGCAATACACCTTTTAATTTCATGGCTGCTGGTGCCAAGAGTGTTGACTATGGAGCCAAGCAAACTAAAGCTGTGAACAATCTCAATCTCTTCACCATCCATCCTGATGTCAACAATTTGTCCAGTGGTGAGAATCTGTCTTCTTGGTATTGAACCTCAAACCATATTGAATGCTGCAGTCCTTGACCTT